CCAGTGAGCCCATAAGGCACACAGCACAGGAAGAAATCTGGCAGGGGCTACACTGGCATGCCAGTGCGCTGAGAGAGTTCACCAGCACAACTGCATTTAAACTATGGGCTTTGCTGGCACAGCTAATCAGAGCTTAAAGATATTCACAACCCTGAGCGACATAGCTGTGCCAGAAAATGCCTAGTATTGACTTGCCCTAACATGAACCCACCACCATGGCACAGTCATTGGTTCTTGCATATCCCTTGATCTGAAAGAGCTATCTGGCTTACTGCTCATCTTAAAGCAGAGACTCCAGCATGGGAAACTGGGAAGTTCACAAGTGACTTGAATCATCCTAAAGAGGGAAAGAGGCCAGATTCTGGTTCTTCTACAGACAAACTAGTTTGCAGAAGGGAACTGCAAAACAAAGGGAAGGGCTGTTTTATTGTTTGGTTTTTATTTTGCATAACACAGGACAAAACAGCAGTGAAAATCAATTACATCCATTTTACCATCAGGAAGTATTGCAGCATTAGTACCTTGTTAGGAATATCCTGGAATCCCTACCCTTCCTGAGCAAGTTAAAAAAATATATCAAATTAACACAAGTCAAGAATATCTACCAAATCATTTCCACACCAAGATAATATTAGTAAGCTTCTAACTCAGTTCATGTAAATAGTGACAAGGAAACGCTTATAGCAAATGCATGAAAAGCAATGCATGGCAACATTTGGTCATACACGCAACCTATTTGTAACTATTGTGCATTATAATTATATGCATCATACTACAAAATTTCCACTATCATAGATTGCATCATGGCTAGGTACAAAATCAAAAAGCCCAAGGCGGAATCGATTGAAGTTATGCGGTTGTGTGTGAGCTGTGTAGTTTTAGATCAGTAGCAAACCAAATGCACATTTCTACTCTCCCCCTCCCCCAAAGGTAAATCTCACACTGGGTTCTGCCATTTTTAAACCAGTCTATGTGAGCCCAACTTCTGTGCAGTCACTTATACAGTTAAAAGTGTAATGTCTCTACCTGGCCTATAAGCTAGAGTTTAGAATTTCACAGAGAAAAATCCTTGCTATCATTAGTCAAATAACTGAAACAGACAAATGATTTAGTAACAGGTTTTGAACACAGGTATACCATGGTTCTTCTAGTACACTTTTAAGTAAAGGTTTAGCTCAGGTCACCACCCAAGTCTTTTTCCAGTTGGAGTGCTTTGTTGATTATGGGCATGCTTTTTGCAATATGCCTAGAAGTAGGCACAAACAAACAAGTTAGCACAAGATAACCAAGGGCAGGGATTTACAGTGCATCAACAACTCTCATACAACTACCAATATGCATGCTATCACTCTGCAGTAAATGAAAGTTAACCCATGGTAGCTTGTCTCAATAAAAGAGGGACAAGCTACCATGCGTTATTCTTCATTTCGTGTAGAATAGAAGTATGCACACTGCAAAGTGGCTAATGCACTGTGCGTTTTCTCCCTCATTTGCGCTGGAGCCACACCAGCAAACCTTTTCTAGGATACACCTGCCCCAAGACAGCGTATTCAAAAAAAAAAAAAGTCCAGCCTACAATGCATGAGCCTATGCTGTCTCTGAGGAACCAATTTATGGAACTCTTGAAGACAACTAGATCCATCTATAGCATACTACATTCTAAATCACAATAGTTTAGTTCTGATGGACTGCCTTGCTTATAACTTAGTTTTATAATGCTGACCAGACATTACCATAGGCTCTCTTTTTAAGAGCTGGCTAATATGGTAAGTCATTCAATGACTAAATCCATCTTCCAACTTAAAAAAATGATTGTGGATGGATTGACTAAATCCATCTTCCAACTTAAAAAATATGATTGTTTCACAATGGAACAATGCTACATAGAATGTCTTTTTCATGGGGGAAGCATGGCAGAGTGGAAATGGCTTTTCTCTCATTTTCTTAGTATTAGTGTTTTTTTCAATTTGGGCTGTGTACAGATGTTCATTTCTACTGAAAAATTTCTTCTGGTAGAAAAATTGGCTGGGAGCTGAACTACAGTCATTCCTCCAGCCCCATAGCTGAAGGGCTTCACAGGGAAGCTCTCTAGCTAGGCAGTACAAGAGGGCTCCTCTCCTGGGCCACTGCCACCCTTAAACAGACCCTCCATTGACAGCCTGTCCTTTCCCCTGCCTGTCTGTGAAGGGGACAGGCCATTAAGTAGCAGATGGCAGCTGCTGAAAAGCAGCAGCTGCCACAGACCCAGGAGGGTTGTAGGCCTGGGAGAAAGCCCCCCAGCCTCCTCCTGACTATCAGTTGTCCCCCGCAGCAGAATAGCCGCACTCCTTGCACTCCTCTGAGCTGACTCAGAAAAGGGCAGTCTCAGGAAGGCACGGGACTCTTCCAAGAGAAACACCATAAGGCAATTTAACCCTGGTTGTTCCCAGGTTATTTTTCTTCCAGAGTGGCCATTTTGCTCTGAAAAAAACCAACATGAATAGCTGCACTTTTGCTTTCTACCAGGAGAGTGGTGATTCTCTCAGCAGAAACTGAACATCTGTATGTGGCTTTAGTCATCTGTGCTAAAACAGACATTTCAGTTTTTGCAGTCTATCCCTCAAATTTACTTTGAAGCTTTATCTCCCCCCCACCCACACACACACTTCCACACCTTTGGATGCACATTCTGATGACTGGAAAAACCTGGTGGCTTTTTATTCATATTGTTTTTGCCTTGTTTTCTCCACGAGTTGAAAGTGCAATGAAATGTTTAAGGACAACAGCAACAACAACAGCACACGCTCCCACATGTTAAAGGACTTTAGATGTCCAAAACACAGGACAGTGTTGCCCCAGATGTGTTGTAGCTTCTGATCATCTTGTGCTGTGCCTTCTGCATTCCATTGTATCCTGCTTAAGCCACCTGCCTGGCTAGCAATAATTTCTAACATCAGGGTTAGGGAGAGACACTACACATAGACCGATTTAAGTGATCAGCAACCGGTTAAACCTGTAACAGAACAGACGTTAAGTGCACATAAATCGGTTTGAAAATGGCTCAAACCAGTGTGAGAGAAACCTGGTTGAATGCAGTATCACACTTAACTGATTTGGCTCATTATGCAATGTGTGTCCTGGACCCATTCCTGGTTTAATTTAAACTAGAGTCCCAGAGCATCCCAGATGCTTTGCAGCCCTGAGCAGGGCTCTCTGCTCCAGTGTAGGGCTGGTCCCGCCCTTCTGCCTGACTTCCCCCTGCTCCCCACCCCACACCACCCCCTGCTCAAGCAGGGATTCCCCCTTCCCCTTCCCCACAGCACAAACTGTAGCCTGCATCTGATATGCCATCTAATGCTAAGAGGTGTCTGTGTAAGGCAGACCGGCAAGTATCCGCTTAGAGATTTTTTGGAGCTAATCAACAGGTCAGCTGGTACTGTCCCTCCCTTCCTTCCTTGGAAAAAGCTGTTTAAGAAGAGCTTGAACTAATGAGAGAGGTTTTTATTTTCTTGATGGGATGCTAAATGCTGTTATTAACACCCTGCTGGCTCCCTGGTCAGGGGGGGACCCTTCCCTGATCAGAGCGTCCTGTGGGGCCTGGCCATGCCCCACCTCAGCTCAGCACTGGAAGTGAAGTAAGGGCTGCTCTAGCACCCCTCAGCTTTTAGCCTGAGCTGCTGCAGGCGTGTGCCAGCATTTTCTCAGTCCAGAGAGAATGACCGGTTCAGCCTAGCCAGGTTAGACTACCCTGCAAAGATTGAATCAATTCAGACTTGGGCTTTTTGAATGCCTGTCCCTAGCCCAGGAGTTGAAGAGCCAATTAGAAAGGTTTTCTTCTAATGTTTTAAGACTTCACTTTCTCAAGCAAAATAAATTTATGTTGTGGTAACTCACAAGTACAATTTAAAGATTCAGCAAGGAGCAAGAAAAAGAAGAAAATTAGTTTAGTGGTCTCTGGGATTTTTTTGTATGATTTGCTTTTCACTGAGATGGCAAGTGCCTAAATAAACTAGATCATAACATGAAAGCTTCAGGATTATTACATTCCAGCAACAGACACAAATTTCCTTTTGAAACTTTGGAACACAAAATAAAAAGCTAAGTTAATTACTGCTTGATGTTACCACTGCACGTTTCTAAAACCTAATGGCATCTATATTTTTTCAGAAGCCTTTGGCACTGTGAGTTTAAATTTTAAGTTAGTTACAGGATCAGTAAAACATTTAAAAAGTGGAACAGATACCACATATACAGTAGAGGTCTCTCGATTATAAAGCTTTAACCCCGACATGGATCAAGCCTGCCATAGCAACAGAGAACATCATTTTTCATAACCATTCAATTCATGGGCACTGTGAAGAGAGGCTATAACCCAACTATTTTCCTGTTGTGTGTCAACAAGAGAAGAGCAGCTCAGGAACTAGGAAAGTGGGCTTGATACAAAAGTAGCTTTAATTTAAGCATCAAAACTTGTGCATCTTTAAATGGCAAGTATGAAAACCACTCATCACATACAATTAGATTTCTGGGTAATGTTTCCCTCTGGAAATAACTGTCTGGACTTTTTCAGGCAACGTCCCTCATTAAGGAGTCTGCATTTATGTATGAGAAGTTACAACTTCCTTCATCTGCTTTGAATACTTTCCACAAGAAATATGAAGCCATCTCCTGCTTGTAGGAAGGGTAATAAAAATTTCTGTTCAGCACAAAAAAAAGAGATCTCAAAAATGTGGATCAGTATCATTCAGTCACTATACATCCCACTTCTTTATACATCCTTAAGCTGACTAAGGCTTAAAAAAATTAAAAACCCACACAATTTTGAATCCTAGCATTTTGAGCTACTTAACATTTTCTCAGAATTTAGAGAGACTATTACATTGTCTGCCTTCAAAAAATGGTACAAATTAAAAAGAGTTCTGCTGTACTGATTTAAAAAACAAACAAATGAAAGTTGATCATCCCAAATATAAGCTTTGTGACTTTGAAGTGTCAGATATTTTGGAAATTAATTTCCTTACCTTTTCACTTCCTTTTTTTCCAGATTTCTTCTTTTTAGGACTGTCTTTCCAGAGAGATTCTATGGCTATGTATCCTTGCAGACTCCAATCATACAGCCTTGAACCTGTGACCTTTAAAACAAACAAAAACAAAAAAACCAACATATGGGACGGGCTTTTTCTTCTTGTTTCCCTTGAAATACCAGCAGGGTTTGAATTACACTCTGACTCCTGGGGGCGGTCTGCGGCGATGGCAGCTGGAAGGAGCAGCCACCGCCGCCTGAGCTGCTTAGAAAGGTGCGGGGCACGCCAGGGGCATTAATCTCTTATGGAGGGGGCACTCAGCCCTCCCCTGCCCCAAACTCTTCCCATAATTTGAATCCTGAATACCAGTAGTTACAAAAAAGAAAAATCACAAAAGGAGTTGAGTGATGATGTTTTAAACACAAATACACATGCTTCATGCATATTACAGAAGTATGATATGCACAGTTTAATAAAAAGTGGCAGCAAAAAAACCCCTCATCTAAGAGGGGAAAAGTAGTTTTTAAAAATGTGTTAAAAATCCTATCAAAGCAAATTAAACAGAGAAGTGGATTTAGAAAAAACAGGCAATGCTATTAAGCACCACTCATATGGTTAAGGAGGACAACATTCGTACTTTGTATTTTCTCTTTCAGATTTTACCATTTTGTTTTAGTTCTGACTTTAACATATCTTAAAAATCTTATTTTACCATCATTTTTCAGTTCTTTTGTTTCCTTTGGCCAGACATCATCACAAGCAAAACTGCACAGAGCTTTCCAAACAACACCTGTTAGCAAAATTGTAACTGTACTTATTGTATTTTGCTTCAGAAATTCACTATGTAACACCAAGGAGAAGCTTCTCTCTGGTATCAGAATCTGAAAGACTTTGACCAAGACAAGAAAACCATCACCTAACAACCCAAGAAACATAAAACAGTTACCCTTAAAAAAAAAATGCAGAGACAGGTTGCTGGATTTTAGCCTCCACAGCTGGACTGGATTTGTGAGGGCACGGGGCTACAGCCTGGCCAGACCAACATGGAAATGAACTGCCTCCATGGCCCAGCAGGTGGGTCCCAGAGCAGGAGGGCAGAGCAAGGCAAGAAGACTAGTTGCTGGCCATCAGGTCATGGTAGTGGGTAGAGCCATGCCCCAGTGCACAAGTAGCCAGTGGTGGGAGGAGGCAAGGGCAGCATCGTGTGTCCCCCCCAATCCTTTACTCTTTGTGCTGCTGGTGCTGCAGCTAGCGCCAGATTGATGGCAGCAGCAGTAATTAGTCTCACTGCCCTAATCCACCCCACTCCGCTGGGACCCACCTGCTGGGCCATGGAGGCATCTCCTTCCCGTGCTGGTTTGGCCAGGCTGCAGCCACATGCAGCACAAATCTGGGGAGGCACATGCCTCCCCATAACCCACTCCTCCCCCTACCCCACATACTCAGCCCCACACACCAGCGAGCTGGGGCCTAGGGGGAGAAGGATGGGAGTGAGGAGCACCAGCAGGGCTGTGGAGATGGAGGGCTGTGGGTCAGGAGTAAGAGGCACCAGCAGGGCCAGGGAGCTGTGTCTTGGCACTAGCCATCAATGTTTACAAATGGGTCCTGGTACAAAAAAGGTTGAGAACCACTGCTCTAATCCAACCTCCTGCTTAAAGCAGAATCATCCCCAACTAGATCATCCCAGCCAAAGCTTTGTCTAGCCAGGTCTTAAAAACCTCCAAGGATGGAGCTTCTACCACCTCTCTAGATAACTTGTTCCAGTGCTTCACCACCCTCCTAGCGAGAAAGGTTTTCCTGAAAGCCAACCTAAATTTCCCTTGCTGCAACTTGAGATCATTGTTCCTTGTTGTCATCTGTCACCACTGAGAACAGTTTAGAAGTGGCCAGTGGTGTCCCTCAGGGGTCCGTGCTTGGACTGGTGCTTTTCAACATCTTTATGAATGATTTGAATGTAGGGGTGAAAAGCTCATTGGCTAAGTTTGCGGACAACACCAAGTTATGGCTGGGCATAGTCATGCCAGAAGATAGGTTGCAGATATAGGCAGACCTGGACAGGCTGGAGAGTTGGGTGGACTGGAACCAGATGAAGTCCAACACTCAGAAGTGTAAGGTGCTCCATCTAGGCACAAACACTCCCCCCAACATACTTACAGGCTGTGATGACAATTTCACTTGCACCACAGCCAAAAGGGACCCGGGGTAGTGATCAACCACTGCATGAACAGGAGCTGGCAGCGTGATGCCGTGGCCAGCAGGGCAAACCACATGCTGGCATGCATTAACTGTTGCATCTCATGCAAAACTAAGGAAGTGATACTCCCACTGTATTCCGCACTGGTGAGATAGCAGTTGGAGTACTGCATCCAGTTCTGGAAGCCGAACTTCAATAAGGATGTGGAAAAACTTGAGGGCGTCCAGAGAAGAGCCACCCGTATGATCAGGGACTTGCAAGACAAGCCATATGAGCAGAGGCTGAGGGACTTGGGCCTCTTCAGCCTACAGAAAAGAAGGCTGAGAAAGGACTTGATAGTGGCTTACCACTACATCAGAGGAGTACATCAAGAACTTGGTGAACAGCTGTTCACGAGGGCACCCCCGAGGAAGACCAGGAGCAATGGATACAAACTTTTGGAAGGTTGCTTCAGGCTCAATTCCAGGAAAAACTTCACAGTCAGCATGCCCAGACTGTGGAATAAACTCCCTCCAGTGGTGGTGCAGTCACCTACCCTGGAAATCTTCAAAAGGAGACTGGACAGTCACCTCGCTGGGGTCACTTGACCCCAGTAGTCTCTTCCTGCCTAGTGCAGGGGGACTGGACCCGATGATCTAGACGGTCCCTTCCAGCACCTAACAATCTATCAATCTAGCTCCATCCTCTTTGGAACCACCCTTCTGGGAGTTGAAGGCTGCTATCAAATCCCCAAATAGTAGAAGCATTGCCAGCAGATCAAGGGAAGTGATTTTTTCCCACTATTTGGCATTGGTGAAGCCACATCTCGAGTCCTGTGTCCAGTTTCAGGCCCCCCACTACAGAAACAATGTGGACAAATTGGAAAGAGTCCAGCAGAGGGGGGCCAGAGCAGAAGTCCATTTTCTCTCACCCTTCCCCACTGTTGCTGACAGGCAGGAGACTGATGAGGGAGAGGGGCTGGGGGAAGTTTTCCCTCTTGCCCACCCTCATACTGCCGCTGCTGCTGGCAGGGCTGACAAGGCTACCTTAGCTCCATGACAGCTGGGGGCAGGGCTGCCCAGCTTAGCTGGGGCAGATAAACTGGGGCAGAGGCTAGCCCACCTGAACTGTAAGGGGGTGGAGGGGTGTCAGCAGGGGGTTGCAGTGCATCCTGGAATGCAGGGGAACCAAAACTTAACTTGCATCTTGCGGGGGGGATCTGGGACAGAAGCTCAATGAACTAACTGGTTTAAACCTAAATCTGTTAAGTCTGATACTACATCCATCCAGGTCTATCTTAAACCAGGTTCAGCCATTGCCTTCACTTATACTGGCTTGTGTGTAATGTCTATCCCTAGCCTTAACGTGCTTCTACTGCATCTAGCATGATAGCATCCTGAACCCTACAAAGGCCTTTAAGATCCACTATGAATTTTATGTACAAACACATGCACCATAAGAGCCCTGGTGAAAAAGTTGTGGGCATGTTCCACCCAAGCTGCAACTAGGAACAATTTTGTCTCTTTGAAGCATACCAGGACAAAACTTTTCAAACTGAGCACAGACCAACCATTCAAATAAATACAATTAGGATATTTAAATGCATGACAAATCAACATCTTGTCTGACAATCCGCAACTGTCTAACAAACCCATTACTCATGCTCTGAAGAGAAGGGAAAAATGCATCACACTGGAACTTTTCTCCTCACTTTGTTAAACTTAAGTTTATATACAATGAGAAGCCACTATAGCACACCACTCACTCAACATTAGCATGAATTCTGTCCTTCAGTTCAGTATGGATTCTGGTCTTAAGACACAAAACGCCCTACATCAGCATCTTACAGACACCCCTCCTCCCCCACATTTATTTCAATGTTACCGTGAAGCACTGAAAATGGTCTAGATTAATAAATAATCTCAAGAACAAGTCGTAGATCCTGACAGACAGAAAATCATATATTGAAAATTAGTTCATGGTGAATACAAATAGATTTGATTACTACATTTTTCTAGTTAGATAACCAAATGAGACCTCTCTTTGGACAAGCTGGTTTCAAAAACTCATATCTTGCCTACTTATCACGTAAAACAAGTATACATTTTAAATATAAAAATAACTTTGTTGACAGCTGGCATAAGGAAGTGAGCAAACAATAATTGTATCTATGTCTGAAAGTAATAAAAGCAAAGATGAAGGGTGGTGGAGTGGGAGCAAGGGAAGGAAGCAAGTTAATCCTCAGAGACCTGGCAATAAAAGGGAAATACATCTCCAAAATTTTCACAGTTGCTGCAAGCATAAACTGCCCACATTCTTGTTTAGTTTTTCAAGAACTCACTCAAAATATATTCAAACCAATAATCTGTGCTAGAAGAAATTACATTTTACACTAATGAAAGATTCTGCTTCATCTGAATATACTGTATGATGGCAAAAACTACAAGAAATATAAACGTGCCTAGGTAAACAAAATCAACAGAAACAATCCTTTTACTGATTATGCCAATATTAACAGCAAACAGAACAAGAAGAAAGAAAGACAATAGTCTGTAGGTCACAGCTGCTGCTTCTTGCTTAACCAGACTCCTTCAGCATACACTTTTTAATCTACACAAAGTGCAGGTCAAATCGGTGCAAAAAAAAGTATCAACTGTGATGGACTCCTTGGTCACTGCACTGTTAAAGGCACAAGCAAGTTATGGAAATACTTTAACAAAATACTCAATTACCAAAACTTTTCCAGCTCATGTTATACCTGACTCTTATACTGTGTTTGCTTGCAGGGTCAGATTAACCCTTTAGTGGGCCCTAGGCAAACAAACTTGTGGGCTCCGGGCCTGCTGAGATCCCCTTCCCCACCCCGGTGCCACTGCCTAGGGGGAGCAGGGTTTGGAGCTGCTGCTAGGAAGCAGCCACTGCCACGGTGAGACCAGCACAGGGGAGGCGAAGAGAAGGTAAAAGAAGGGAGACGGACAGGGCCATTTGCATCACCGCCACAGAGAGAAGGATCAAGCCGCCTCTGCAGCTCAAGGCCCTAGGCATATGCCTAGTTTGCCTATACATTAATCCAGCACTGTTTGCTTGATGTACTTAGAAGGTAAGGTCTTTGAAACAGGGACCACTCAATCTGTGTTTGTACAGTACCTTGCACAAGGAGCCCCCTGGGTTGGCCCTTAGGAGATATCAAAATAAAAATGGACTTAATAATCACCACGTACAGAGTGCAGTCTTGCATACCATGAAACACCCAAGAAATCCAGAGTTAATGAAATTCAAATTTTGGGTGTGTAATGAATGCAGAACTGGGCCTTGTATTTTCACAGCTAAATTTTTCTTTAAGTGAGACAGCTGTCAGAACTAACAGAGAGAAGTAACCACAACCTAAACAAAACTGGAAAGAAGGTTAAATAGTTCATGTAGACAGAAAAACCAAGAAGTTTCCAAATCAAAGGCTGTCCAGTTAAATTATGACATCGACATTCCCACCCCCACAACACCTCCACTGCATGTAATCCTAAAAGATCAGGTTTTATTAAGTTTTACCACATTCTGGTTTTCTGTTCCTGAAGTGGTCACTGCAAATTTAAAAAACAAAACAAAACACACTAATAAACTGTTCCAGATTTTTCAGAACTATTGCTTTCTCCAGACTGTAGAGAAGCATCAACTACAGACTGAATTTAAATATATGACCAAGAATTCCTTATTCATTAGTGTTATATTCCAGAACATCAGACAACTTTCTAAGCTCTCCTAGATTCACTGCAACACAGCAAATATATTTAACTCAGTAATTACTCTTTACTTAAATTAAAAAGCAAGACTGGAAAGTTCTCAGAAGATTCTGGAAGACCTTGAAGTGGCCTCACATTCTTGATTCTTTAGCTTGCCAATACCTGTGGTAAGCATGGTAACCTCTAAACGTCATGACAAGTGTTTCCTTCAACCTTACCTGTATATAAAAAACTTTCCCTGTCTCCTAACTGTGTATAAATCTTACACTTATAACATGCATTATGCTTAGGTTTTTGCCATGAACCCCCATGCTGATCTGGAGGATTGCGGGGTGTCTTGCATGACCTATTTTACTGACATGGCAAGTGTAGCTTCTAGATAGGCAACATCAAGCTGCAGCTAGTCTTACTGTCCTTATGTTACAAATTTTTTATATCAAAATACCAAAACACATTTCTTATATGTTATAATAGGGCAGGATTGCATAATACGATCTACAAATGATAAACAATGAGTTTCTTTGGCATCTAAGGAACGGCTGTAAAGCTGTAATCAGCATCTGACATGGGTGTTTACTCATGGAAAGACCCTCCCGCACAATGATTAATTTACATTTTAAAAGGAAAAACCTTAGCGTGAGTAAAGCCTAGAAAGAGGCAGAACAATTCCCACTGAGCAAAAATTGAGGGAGACAATACATTGGATTAACAAATCTATGTCTGAAAGGATACATATATTCTCCAGGTCCTAATTAGAGCAGAAGAGATTTCTGTTCTGGTAAACACAAACCGTTTTGGAGGGGAGGGCAAGAAGCCATATGCATAGTGTGGCCCCCAAAAATCCAATAGGTGACTTATGTGAATACCCAGATAAGAAATTGTTCTTAAGCCTGCTTTAAGAGCAGGGTACTACTGTCTTCATAAATGAAGCAGGCTGGGTAAAGAAGCTAACAGGAGAACTTGCAGAAGTCGCTGGTAGGAGATTCAGAAACAAAAGCTGTTTCTGTTAACCTATTGAAGGCACCTGGGGACTGCATTCTTGGATTTAAGGTGTAGGGAAAGAACAGCTTACTGTTCTGATACTTTTTGGTTTGTGTATTCTTATATCTTCATCTGTACTTCAGCATATGGTGGTTACTGATTTCTTATGCTGTTTTTTTCCCCCCAATTAAATTAGGGAAAGAGGGAAAAATCCATCTTTTCTGAGTACATGACAAGATAAGTGTGTGATCCTTCTAGCTGGCAAAATCCTTTCTGCTAAGGGCTGGCAAGCCCTGGGTGAAACAGGCAAGGCTGAGATGCCAAAGTCCAAGGAGTTGACCCCTGGCACATCTCTGCTCACCAAGCAGCAGACAGCAGGGAGGGGTTTGGGGCAGAAGAGCACCCCAGGCACACGTTTCAAAAGTTACATCCATGCCACATCTGGGATGGTGGCATGTCCCAGTTAATGGTTAATATCTCTGTAATATCACTCCTAGTGCACAGGTGGCTAACCTGAGGCAAGAGTGCCACAAGAGGCACTAGCAGCCTTCATGTGCAGTGCACAGCTGACTGGGGAGGAGGTAGGCAGCACAGTGGCAGCTAAGGCAGGAAGCAGAAACAAGAGCAG